ACTGACCAAGTAACCTTGTTGCACACAGTGCACTGCACTCACAGTCAGGCAATGATGGGAGAGGTGACTTGCTTTCATGCTCGATGGGAATGCAGTGTGCTCAGAAAGTAAAAGTTCAGCCATTTCCAAATCATTACCCTAATTTTTCCATCAATGAGCTTTTAATCTTGTCAAATTTAAACAGGTTATTTTAAATCACACAAATTCATAATCTATTAACTATATACTGGAGATGTTGAAAACTGCTGCAATTACAAGATGAGCAAGAGTAATTTAAAGATTCAACTTAGAAAAGGATTGAAAAAATTATAGTACTTGTAAATGTTCCATAATATAAACCAGACTTCACTGTGTTAGTTGTCATGACTGTGATTTGGAAGTGGACTCCAGATACCAGTACAAACAAAAATTTTTATTCTTTTAAGCATGAAAGCACATCTAGACCAGATGTAATGACATGTCAATCATCACGTAAAGCAATACCCTTTTAAGGAATGAAAGGCAACACTTTTCCCTACTGAATCCTTTAACCATGTCAAACATTTTAAAACTGTGGGGTTTTTATACAATGTTTTCTAACCCTATGAGTTACAAGTAAAAAAAACCTCCAAAACTTTAATCTCTGACATTTATCTCTTTTTCTCCATTTATGGTTACACAAGGCGGCAAAACTTACTGCATATAACCAGAGAAACACACTGAGTTTTATCAACAGAGATCGCTTACCTGAATTTAGGATTTTCCACTGTAACTACACCGACTTCTATTTCTGAAGGTTTGAAATCAATGGATAGTACAGTAGACAGGCATGTTATTGCTGTCTAAAAGATGACAAAAACCCTCTATCATTAAAAAGAAAGCACTAGGACCTTTTTATTTTAATAGACAGCATTAACAGTGTAAGTGAAAAAGGATTTATAAAATAAATTCATTCACCTATTTTGTAAGTAGGATAAATTTTCTTAACAGGCCTTGAACAACAGTTTCAACAGTAGGCATAAACCCCTGGTGTTATATGTATTAAACTGACAGGCAAGCACTACCCTGTCCTGTTTGAAATGCCTTCTAATAGGAAGATTGCTCTAAATGGCACTAAAAGAAGTCAAACTGGTATCCCCAGAATCAAGCACTGCAGTAACCAACCACCAGCTGCAGTGGGAGTGCTACAATTACAGATTCTGCCTCAGCTAACATAAAGAAGAAAAAGCAGATTAGATGACTATTTAACCATTTGCAGAATACCTTCAAAAGATTTTCTGGCTGGAATAGCTATACTTGCCCTGGCAGCAATAGAGAACTGTAAGGAAACAGGAAGTGCCTAACTGCATTTCTCTGTATTGCAAGCCTGCATGCAGCACATTAATTACAAATACTTTAACAACTCTTTATTTCCTTCAGGTGACCTACCTCTACGGTTTGCTCGTATGTCCAGTCAAATTTCTTCTTTACTTTCTTTTCAAGAAAACTGGTTGACTCTGTCTGTTTAACTCCTGCAGCTGTGGCCTTGAATCCACAATAATAACCTGCAGGATCACACTTGTATACCTGAGGGCCATGTTCTTCATCGATACCAATCAAAATCATACCTTGAAGAGAAAATGTGTTAATTTATTTATTTCCCCCATTTCAGAAATTTCATTCAATTGAAGAACTCCTCCCCTGTGAAAATACATGCATACACAGCAGCACATTTTTGGGAATCAGTCCCATACCTAGAGCTGCAATTTCCTCTTTTTCTCCAATTTGCCATTTCTTACCAGCATCTCATTACGTGTGCAACTGAGTTTAGCACAAACTAGATTTCTGCCATTCCCAAAGGCGGCAACTCATTAAACATACAAACGTTTTTGCTAAGGTCAGTGTGTAGAGAACCACAAAGTCAGGAAATACAGAGGTTTAATCCTGATACAAAGTTGACCCAGCCACAGCTCACATCCTGTATATTATATGACACTGTAAAAGTGTAAACAATAGTTCTAGTAACGTGTACCTTTTGCTAGAAATCAGCTTTACAAATATGTTGAAATTAATGGCAATATTAAAAGAACAAATTCAGATTTCTCATGTGTAATACTGAAGTTCTGCACTACATTCCTTTTCCTCTTAAAGAAAAAAGATCTGAAACAAAACGTGGAAATATCAGGACATAATTGAGATTCTGAAGACCATTTGTCTAAGTGCTGTCAAGTTGGATAGATTTCAAGTAACAAACTGATCACAACACTGAAATGCATCTCTGTTCACCCTCACTTCTTGATTTACAGCTGCATTGTCTCGATATGCATAATGAAAAATAAGTCAAAAGCAATACTTGCAAGAAAAACTCAAACCAGAACAAGGTCAAGGTTTTCAATTATTTTCACTTTACACTTTTGTAGCTTTTAACTAGTAGTTAGAGCTGATAAGCTTCTGAGCAGCTATTACTACAATAAAAAAATCCCTTCATATTTCAAAAAAAAGGTTAAAGGAAGTTAAGAAAAATATATTTGTATTCATGCACTTAAAAAAAAAAATATTCCAGTAGTACCAAGGCATGGGAAATGCCAAGGAAGAAAGAAACAATCATTCATTCCTGAAAATTACAAGCATAGGAAAATTGCCCCATCATGGAAACTGTGGTGCAACCCTGAATGTTACTTTTTTGGTGAGAAATGCTAGTGACTACTGTGATTACGAGAAGTGATTCATCAATTCTGAAACTATTCTCCTTAAAAGAACAAAACCCCACAACACCAAAAGCCAACCAATCACAATGAAACCCAGACAGAAAGTTTAATGAAAAAGTAATTGAGGAAAGCTTAAGCCTTTTATCTCAGTTCCCAGACAGCCCATCAGCATGGTTATAACTTGCTTACAGCCCAACGTAGGAGAAAAAACAAGTCAGAACCAATCTCAGAACACACAGATGACCAGGAATATCTACACATCTATTTTTATTTAAGCTGCATTTGCTGTTCTAAAACAAGACATGTAGAAATATTTGCAAGGGAAATATTTGTAAACACTTTTCTCTCCATTGTATGTATATGATGGCAAAGTTAAGAGCAAAAATGACGAAGATCTGCCCTATATGTACTATGCAGGTAATAAAGCCACAAAATCTGCACAGGAAGTGCCCTCTCCATCTGCCTGTTTTGACAGTGATGTTTACCCACACACAATGTATTGGGTTTGCATGGCCAGGTTTTGGTAGCGAGGGAACTACAGGAGTGGCTTCCGTAAGGAGCTGCTACAAACTTCCCCCATGTCCAACAAAGCCAACATCAGCTGGCTCCAAGACAGATGTGCCACTGGCCAAGGCTGACCCGTCAGCAATAGTGGTAGCACCTCTGAGATAATGCATTTAAGAAGATTAAAAAAAAAGTTATTAAGCAGAAGCACCCCATGTAAGGGACCCACACTGGAATAGTTTGTGAAGAACTGCAGCTTATGGGAAGGACTCACTTTGGAGAAGTTCATGCAGGACTGTCTCCCATGGGAGGGACCCCACACTGGAGCAGGGAGAGTGTGAGGAGTCCTAACCCTGAGGAGGAAGCAGCAGCAGAAACAATGTGTGATGAACTGATTGCAACCTCCCTTCCCATACCCCTGTGCCACTAAGGGAGAGGTAGAGAATCAGGAATAAAGTTACACCTGGGAAGGAGAGAGAATTATAGAATCATATAGAATTTAAGGGTTGGAATGGACCTTACAGATCATCTAGTCACAGCCGCCCGCCATGGGCAGGGACACCTCCTCACTAGATCAGGTTGCTCAAGGCCTCATCCAACCTGGGCTTGAACACTGCCAGGGTCAGGGCAGCCACCCCTCCCCTGGGCAACCTGTGCCAGTGTCTTACCACCCTTAGAGTAAAAAAATTCCACTCATTCACTTTGAATCCATTACCCCTTGTCCTATCATTGCAGGTCCCAACAAAGAGTCCCTCTCTGGCTCCCCTGTAGGCCTTTCAGATACTGAAAAGTTGCTCAGAGGTCTCCATGCAGTCTTCTCTTCACCAGGCTGAACAGCCCCAACTTCCTCAGCCTGTCCTCATAGTAGAGGTGCTCCAGTATTCTTATCAATTTCATGGCCTCCTCTAGACTTGCTCCAACAGTTTCATGTCCTTCTTATGTTGAGGACACCAGAACTGTGTGCACTATTCCAGGTGGTGTCTCACGAGAGCAGAGTAGAGGGGAAGAATCACCTCTTTTGACCTGCTACCCAGGGAGGGACTGGGGGAAGGTGCTCTGAAGGTTTGGTTTTAGTTCTCATTATCCTACTCTGATTTGCTTGGTAATAAATTCAGTTAAATTCCCCGAGTCGAGTCTGTTTCGCTATGATGACAATTGGTGAGTGATCTCTTCCTGTCCTTATCTCAACTCATGAACTTGTTCTATTTTCTCTCCCCTGCTCAGCTGAGGAGAGGAATAATACAGCAGAGTCTTTGGTGGACACCTGGCATACAGCCAAGGTCAAACCACTACAAACAGGTACCATTCAAAGGAGCATCTCTCATTCCCAGACATCACTGTGCAGTGCAAAGAGACTAGGCCCCACAAAACTAAGGTGAAATAGTATCACACGTTTTAAAGAGGCTACATCATTTACTCCAGTTCAAATGCTGCGTCAATGATAAAATCAGGGCTCCAGTTCAAGACTTCCAACACTGCTCTCATTTGGCTGTTCTTACTCCTCTTACTCCTTCAGCTACCCATTTTGAAAATGGGTGAGAATTTCTCATACATGAAGTTCCAAGGTTAGACAAGAAACAGAAAACACTAAGTTCATGGACTGTACTTACAGCAGCCAAGGGGCCTCATTTCAGCATTCTGCGTATAGACCTGAGAAATATCTGCAATCCTCTTACACAGCATATCCACAGGGATGTCATAGCCATACTTGTACTTCCAGTTAGCAGCCTCATAGCGAGCTCTCTGCACCTGGGATCTGCTGTCAGCTAGACAGAAAGAACTAATATTAATTTCACTGAACATTCACCATGTTTATTTCTAGCACTGTCTGAGAATGCAAATTCCAGGTCCAGCTTCACATTGTCTTTAAACATATCCATCAGAACTAGACAAGTACTCCAAAACCAGATTGAGTGGAACAAGTCTCCTAGTGCACTTATTTGGTTATTATGATGCAAAGCTGGCAAACTACATAAAAATTCTGACACAATATAGATACTCAAAAAGATGGCGAATGAAATACCTGTCATTCCTGTCATCACACAGCCGATATTTTCAGTGATTCTGAATAAATGAGTCACTGTGTTGGAATCCAGTAACTTGTCCTGAAGAGGAAACAGAAACATTCTAATAGAAAATACTGTCCTTAAAGTACCAAAAATACAAAACCAACCCAGACTCTGAATGCTCTAGTATCTACAGAAGAGCCCAAAAGAACCCACCAACAGCAAAAGATTGTGTTTCAGGCTCTCCACTATTTACTGCTGTAGGAATGTGAAGGAAGAAGTTGGGGAACGGGGAAGATTAAAACTGCAGTCTGGAAAAGGATGACAGCTAGAGCATGATCAACATCACAGTCCTTCTCCTTCTGAAGAAAATTCTGGGAGCACACATACAAGAACTTGCTCTCTCACTGCATGCTGCCCTTCAGACACAGAAGTTTTCCCCTTTGCCAACAATACACCATCACTGTGCTGAAACCCTCACAGAAACCTGTTCCACTGCTACTGGTGTAACATTTTCTCAGTGGGAATTAAAGAAATCAGGGAACTGGTCGTGGACAACTCAGCCCTTATAAGCCAAAGTATATGCATGCTAAAGTACAGCAGGATCAACTTCAGGTTTTAGCTTTATCTCTTCAACAACAAGAGAAAACTAATATTATAGTACCTGGTGAGGAAATGTACAGTTGAGCACTAAATGGAACTAGAAATTGTAGTAAGCAGAATGATAATTAGATATTCAATTCAAGCAGCAATATGTCAGTGCTAGCAAATATATCATCAATGTTGCAAAGTCCTTTTTTTCTCCTCTCCTTCCAGACCCCCTCAAAACCAGACTACTTACAGGTACTTTCTTCTGTGTTACAATTACTGCAGAATCTTTCCCACGAACAGCTACGGATGTAAGTCCACCTTGATTTATGGCCTTAAATGCATATTCTAGAAAAATACACAAATGTTAATAAAAAACTGTGTCAGAGATGCTAAAACAATTAACTCTCACACACCTCCCCCCATCCTGTGTTTGGTCGTGGCATTTCACCAAGTTATGGCCTTTTTAATACTTGTGCAACACTTCGGGTCCTTAAGGTCTTTAGTACAATGTGCACAAGAACTTTCTGATGGGAATTAAGCCATTGACTCTCTTCATAAAACCACTGTCACTGCTTCCTTCAAATATTTCTAATAATTTTCTTTATTTTGGTCAGTTGCAGCTGAACAGCAGCAGAGAATGTTTTAAAACAAAAAGGCTGTTCTGAACTTGATGAAAATGGTCCAACCTTAGCCTACAGTAATTGTACATCCTCACAGAAGACTAAATGACATGAAGTTCAGTATTTTAAGCATTGCTACCACTGCAATGATATCGATTTCTTTTCTAGTTTTTAACTGATAAAGATGAAAACTGATACCATAAAGACTGGAGGAGACCTCTAAGACCTTCAAGTCCAACCATTAACCTGTTACTCCACTGTAACCCTTAAACCATATCTTTCAGCACCAGATCCAGAAACCTCTTCAAACACTTCCACGATTGGTAACTCCACCACCTCTCAGGGCAACCTATTCCTGTGCCTGACTACCCTAACAGCAAAAAATTTTTCCTAACATCTAATCTGAATTTCCCCTGTGTCAGGTTATGAACGTTCCCTCTAGTCCTCTCATTGCAGGCAGGACAGGTAAATGATGCAGAGCCAATTTCACAACATGTATTGTCCAAAACAGCTTGTTTGGGGACAAACATTTTGTCTTAAAACCAACAAAGGCACCTCGTTGCCCAAATTGATGGACCAGGCACAGGAGATGGGTTTTAACCTTACTACCTCATTTTCTGACTTGACATTCAAACACTGCAATGCTTTTATTCACCTTTTAAAATGAAATCTGTGCAGATGCCAACTAAACAGCATTACTTAGGTAAGCACAACTTTATCTGGCAATATAAGCATTCATAACTTCCTAATCTCTGGCTAGAAGAAGCAAGTTTCAGGCAGCAGCTAAATGCAGGTGACTATTTTGTTAGATATGCAAATGAAAACAGAATTTAGAACATGTCTACAAACAGCATAGCCAATTGCTAAAACTATCTTCTGAAATAAAGGGGAGCAAGAAACTTGGCTGTTTTAAAAGCTGCATCCAGATCTACAGAAGTGACTGTAAAACAGGAGAACAATAATCTGAAGATGAAGAAAACCAGGATCTTAATGTTCAATCTGCTGAGTCAGTGTTGAGGAAGGACCAACTGTCATCTACTTACGCCATGGTATTTATAACTCTCAGACATCAGAGCATTTACTGGTTACCCAAACATGGTATAAAGGATGTTCCCCCTTTCCCTCTGCTAGATTCCCAGCTCTGCTTGCCTCTTCATTTTCCTCCTCTGGGATGATCTGTGCCAGCCTGAAGCAAAGCACAGAACCCAGTAAGACATGAGCTAGCACTACCTGCAAACTGGTTATGTCTGAAGGCCCAAGCCCATGCTCTGCAACACTTGTTTATCCATGTGTACAAAAACCTGAAGGGAGGGTGTAAAGCTGATGGACAGAGCCAGGCTGTGGAACAGGCAGGATGCCCAGTGACAGGACAGAACTGGCGACAGCTAGAACAAACAAACACAGGAAGGTCCATCTGAATACCTGAAAAAACTTCTTTACTGTGATGCTGACTGAACACTGGCATAGATTGCCAATCCTTGGAGATATTCAAATCCCATCTGGACATGTTCCTGGACAACTAGCTCTAGATGGGCCTGCTTGAGCAGGAGGTTGGGCCACATGATCTCCAGAGGTCCTCTCCAACCTCAGCCACTCTGTGTTTCTGTGACAGGAAAAAAAAACCCTCACAAACTGGCTTTTGCTCACGAGTACCCACAGCCAGTCTTGCTGAACTGCCCTATTACCATCTCTAGTCTCAGTCTGCAAAGAGACAAACCAAAAAGTCAAGTGGCTCTTACAGCGTAACAAATCCAAGTTGTTAGTGGCGTTTTAAGTCTAGTTTCTGCTATGGAAGAATTTCAGTAGCACTGCAACCAGCAGCCCCTTACTGCTCCTCGAATACATCACAGCAGTCAAAAATTTGACCATAATAATTTGCTTCACCTCCTAAAACTCCTCTTAGAAGGAACTTCACCTCTGAAGACTGGAACTAATAGGTAGCAAAAGGACAGTGATGTGCTGGGGGGTTTTAACCACAGTCCTGAGAAATAACTATCAGTTTTCCAATATGAGACCACTTCAAAGGCATATGAGTTTTCTGAGCTTTGGAAACACAAGACAGATCTCAGAAGTATAGGCATTTCAGTCCAATATCACTACACTGGAAATCTGTTTGTGTACTGCCAAATTCCAGAAAAGCCTCAAGTTTCGCCAAACAAACACAAGATTTGTGCCCATGCTGTGGCTGACTGCTGGCAGAGACACCCATGGGGCACCATGCCTGAGTTACCAGCCTGGCTGCAGGTAAAGTGA